TTAGATAAAGTCAAGTGTTTACTAATCACATCAAACCTCCCAAAAACATTCTGGGGAGAGGCCCTCTCCACAGCTGCCTATTTAGTGAATAGGAGCCCTTTTACAACCATAGGTCTAACCTGTCCAGAAGAGAGATGGTCTGGAAGAAGGCCAGAACTAGGTCACCTAAAAGTGTTTGGCTGTACAGCTTATGCACACACAGTAGGGGGCAAACTTGAACCTAGATCCACTAGGTGTGTGTTCCTTGGATATCCTAAGGGCACAAAAGGGTACAGATTATAGGATAGAGAGTTACCAGGGGTCAGGATCATAATAAGCAGGGATGTTGTGATTAATGAGGGAGTTTTCCCATGCAAAGGAACTAACCCTGATGCATGCACCACCAAAAGCACAGAAACAGCCACCATTCAGACTAGTGCTAATCAGATTGAGGTGGAGCCCACAACCCAACAACCAAATCCACCTCAAGTTTTAAGGACAAGCACCATAGCAACCTGAAATTGACACAGCACCTGAGGAACCTGATCAAGGTGCAGATGAAGAAACTAAAGAGTTCCTGGAACCATAACAAAATGAACTGACAGATTACCACTTGGCCAGAGACAGAACAATGAGAGAGGTAAGACCACCCATAAGATACTCATATGCAGAACTAATTTACACTGCTCTTCTTGTAGGTACTGAGGTGTTAATGTCTGAACCTGAGACATATCAAGAGGCCATGGAATCCAGAGATAGAGACAAATAAAGAACAACTATGGAGGAGGAAATGTAGTCCTTAAAGGTAAATGAAACATGGTCACTGGTTCCAAAACTAAGAAACCAGAAACTAACCCAATGTGAGTGGTTTTTCAAACTTAAAGATGGCATTTCCATAATTGACCCACCTAGGTATAAAGCCAGACTTGTGGTAAAGGGGTATACCCAAAGGGAGGGGATAGACTTCAATGAAGTCTTCTCCCCTGTGGTCAAATACAAAATAATTAGGATGATGTTGTCAGTAGTTGCATGCCAAGATCTGGAACTTGAGCAGTTGGATGTCACCACTGCTTTCTTTCATGGAAACCTTGAGGAGAAAATCTATATGAGCCAGCCTATGGGGTTTATTGACCCTGAGCATCCAGAGCATGCATGCCTCCTTAAAAAGTCATTATATGGGTTAAAAAAGTCTCCTAGGCAGTGGTACAAAAGGTTTGACACATTTATAATAGGTATAGGATTCACTAGAAGTCAATATGACAGTTGCTTTTATTTTAAAATGGACAATGACATGCCTATTTACTTACTTCTATACGTTGATGATATGTTGTTGATTAGCAAGTCAAAATCCCATATTAGTGACTTAAAGAAGAAATTAAACTCTGAATTCAGTATGAAAAACCTAGGGAATGCCAAGAAAATTCTAAGCATGGAGATAAATAGGGATAGAAGAAGGTGTGAACTTAGGCTGCAGCAACAATCCTATTTACTGAAATTAGTCACAAAGTTTGGTATGGCTAGTGCCAAATTGGTCTCAATGCCCCTAACCAACCAATTTATACTCAGTAAGTCCCAATGCCCCAAAACTGAATCAGAATTGTTGAGAATGGAGTCTGTCCCGTATGCTAATGTTGTGGGGTCACTGATGTATGCCATGATTAGTACTAGGCCAGACTTAGCCTTTGCCATTTCCATGTTGAGTAGATATATGTCTAACCCTGGCATGGAGCATTGGACTATCTTAAAATGGATGCTGAAATATATAAACAGTACTGCATGTGTTGGCCTTAAATATTGTAAAAGAAATGCTGCATTTGATCTGGTTGGGTTTGTAGATGCTGATTTTGCAGGAGATAAGGATACTAGGAAATCTACTACAGCATATTTCTTTACATTGGGTGGAAATTGTATAAGCTGGAAGTCGCAACTGCAGCCTATAGTAGCCTTGTCCACAATAGAATCAGAGCATATTGCAGTAACTGATGCAGTTAAAGAAGCTTTATGGTTAAAAGGAATCCTGACAAAGGCAAATTTAATTAGTGGAAAGGTGACAGTGTACTCCGACAGTCAGAGTGCGATCTATCTAAGCAGAAATTCAGTGTATCACGAAAGAACTAAACACGTGGATATCCGCTATCATTTTGTGAGATATCAAGTTACAAATGGAATCATTGAACTTAAGAAGGTATAAAGCACCAAGATAATCACTCCAACCAAGTTCAAGCACTGCCTAAACTTGTTATATATCAAATAGTCTGGAGTGACAAAGAGCCATGACGGAATGGAACTGAGCAAGCTACACAGAGAAACTATTTCCAGTGCTTCCAAGGTGGAGATTGTTAAAGTGGAAGCCTGAAACAGTGCCGTTTTGAGTAAAGAAGGACGATGTCGTTTTAGACAAACTACCAGATGAATCCTGACTGCAGGATACACTTCAGATCCAACGGCCAAAATCCTGTCACTAAGTCAACCATATATAAACTCAGTTTTCGCAGTAGCAAAGGATCGAATCACTGTTGGGTTTTTTCTTTGTGCGATTGAGGAATTAGGGTTTTAGAAGTTTTCTTGCTATTGTTTGTGTAATCAGATTAGAGTGGTTAGGGGTATTAATCATTCTGGTGAGAGTTTTGTTCTCTCGGGTTAGGGATTCTCAGTGGGTTTCTCTTTGGGCTGATTACGGGATAGATTGTATGGGTTCTGTGTTAATTGGTTTGAGGTGTTGTAATCGTGATTCTTGTGGTAATAGTAAGTGCAGTGAGCTCATAACTTTCCTGAGCTCAACGTGGATGTAGCTTATCCATAAAAGGATAAGTGAACCACGGTAATCTCTGTGTTCTTTGCATTCTTGTTTGGTTGATTGTGTGTTTCAGAATCTGTGTTTGTGCTTAGTGGCGTAACAGAAAGGAAAAACTAATTTACTTCCATATGTTTGTGTACAAGGAATTATATATAGCTTGCCCTGCTGTTTACTCAAACCTTAGTCCTAGAGTTCCAAACATGGTGAAGTTTAGTTACTGCCTAGGAGGAAGAAGTTCAATTATGATGGATTTTTTTAGGCAATTTTTTTAAGTTTAAACTCTATTCTTTTCTTTGTTGTGAAATTTTACAATTTACTAATTATTTGTGTAAAATATAATGAGTGAAAGAGATAGATACTGCATTAAATTCGATAAATTCTGTGAACAGCAGATTGTTCCATGATTTTTTTAAGACATTGATTCCATGTAAATCATGATCTTTGGACAATCCTAAGGCGTTTAAGAACTATAAACACATGATTTTTTATGAAATTAGAGATTTTGCAGGTGTCTATATTGTATTTTATTTTTGTAATATTTTTTGTTGAACAAATTTCTAGATGTTGCTTCATATGTCAAGGTTAACTTACAAATATCCACCCTAGACTTTGTGTTAGTTATGGATGCAGTAATCATATCTTTTTAACTTAATATTCTGACACAAATAATCATACGCTATAAAGTTTGTCTAAAAGTAACAGATAGAGTTTAAACTTACATAAATTTCAAGACTTAAAGCACCGTTTATATTAGAAGCTTCTGCTCTTAGTCTTTACATGGAACTTGAATCAATGTGTTGATATTTCCGTTCAACTACCTTACCTATGTTGAAGCGCTTTAGAGTTCCTTCTGAGGATTGGGGCTGAAAATAGAGAGTTGTGGATCTCCACCTCATGGTGGGGGACAAGTTATTGTGACTATTCCAATTGTTGATAAGTTAACGGTAAGCCTTTGAATTTTAATGTAGTACACTGTATATAAAATGTTTTCCAAAAGATTACAAGGTATAACCTTGGTGCACAGTGCATTGAAAATTGTAACAGCAAAAGATAAGATAAAAGAGAAATCAAAGCTTTAGGATCGAATATTTTCTAGAAATTGGGCATTTTTATCACCAGAAATTGCAGAGAAATCGAAGGGTCTGTTTGTTTTGTTATTTTAGATAGGATTTTGGAAATAATATTGGATAGTTAAATAGGATGAGTATTATGAGGTAAAATTTAAAAATTAACAAAAAAATCTCCTAGGTTTACTAATTTAACTAAATACCCCAATGTATAAAATTTTTATAAAATGACAAAAACACCCCCATCCATCCACAGTGCCAGATTCCGGCCACCACCGTTGGAATCTGGCCGAAAAATGGCGTTACGACGCAGACCGGTCAGATCTGACTGGTCGTGCATCGATATGGCCTTTTCCAGCTAGATCCACCACGGATCTTGTCGGAAAAGGCCGAAAAAGGCAGATTTGGCCGTTAGCGATGGCCAAAGATATGGCCATCGTTGTCGGTCAACGACGGCCATTTTTTTTGCTGTGGCTGACGGCCAGATCGGCGAATTACTGACCAGTTCCAGTCGTTTCTACGTCGTTGTGACAGATTCTGGCAACCACCGTCTAGCAACTATGGGTGGGTGGCGGTGTTTTTGTTAATTTTTAAACTTTTTTTTCTATGGGTGTTTAATTAAATTAATAAACTTAAGGGGTCTAAAAATAATTAAAAAATAGAATAGTATTTCCAAAATAATTAAACAAACAAGTATTTTAGGAATAGAATAGGGAATAGGGTATGAAATATTAAAACAAACGGACTCCAAGGTGTTTGTCGGTCGTTTTTTTTTTTTTTATATTGCTCGATTAAGCGATTTTGAAGGGTGGGGTCGTTTTTAATTTTCAAAATTTAAATAAACTTTCGTTAATTATAGTATGACCCACATATGTTTAAATTTTTTCAGTTTAACCTGTTTTACATGGTTAATGAATCCTAAGTATGCCACGTCAATTTTTCTAACTTAAAAAAAAAAAATTACAAAATATTTTCGTGTTACTTTTTTAAATACAAACTTAGGAGGTCTGGCATTTAAATTATAGGACTTTTTAGACGTCCTTGATTTCTTCTTGAAACTTAACTGGAGATAAGTGAAGTCAACTGGAACAGAAGTCTTTACACCGACTTGGACTTCACTTATTACTAGATTTAGAGCTAGTATTGGTTCATGCAGTATGTTATCATCAGCTACAGTTTCAGTGTTACTTTGCTTGTGCGTGAATTGGGTTTTCTTGATCCTTCTCGTACTTCTTGTTGCTCAAACTGAAGCTCAAGCTACTACAGCTCCTATTGAAGGTCTGCTTCTAAGTTTTATCTTGTTTTTTTATTATTAAGTTCTATCTCATTCTTCTTCTGATATCAGTGAGAGCATTGAATATAATTTTTGAAAAATGGGGGATTTCTGCAAATCAAAATCAATGGAATATAAGTGGAGATCCATGTAGTGGAGCGGCCATTGACGACTCCATTGCGGTTGATGCCGATGGTTACAACCCATTTATCAAATGTGATTGTTCTTACAACAAAAACATTCTTTGCCACATTATCGAGATGCAAGTAGAAAAAGACAGAATAACTCGAGCCTTTTTTTAATTTCAGGTTTGCTTACTTTTACAATTTCTTAAATTATAGGAGAGTTTACGCACTGGAAGTTGCTGGTGTGATCCCAGAGGAGCTATGGAGTTTGAATTTCCTCATAAAAATGTATGGTTTTGTATAAATTTATTTCAATTGTGTATTATTTAGACCATTGGATGAGGAATTAATTACTTTTATTTTAATTCAATCTTGTTAAATCCCTTGTCCCCAATCTGGATCAGCATCAAAAATAATTTGGACTTTGTGTTCTTAAATATTCATCTTACCTATTTTCTCTGTTTTTTACAGGGACGTGGGACAAAATCTCTTGTCTGGTCCACTGTCTCCATCTGTAAGAAATCTAAGAGAAATAAAATACCTGTAAGTTGATGTCAAATTTTTATTTTGAAACTCATACGAGATTTTCTGTTTATGATGTTTAGTTCTCACTCTGATCAGGGACTTGGGCATTAATTTATTATCTGAGCAGCTTCCAAAAGAGCTTGGCATGCTTTCTGAGTTAGTGTCACTGTAAGTTTTAAGTTTATCCCCTTCTTAACTGTATCATAATTTATCTAAAGGAACACTGTTGTGTAACTGCGTTGCAATTTAGTATCTAAAGAAAGAAATTTTTGGGGATTTAGAAGTATTGGCCGAAACAACTTCTCTGGTCCTGTGCCACCTGAGCTTGGTAATCTGTCAAAATTAGAGCATTTGTATATGGGAACAAACAGCTTCTCTGGTCCTTTGCCATCTGAGCTTGGTCATTTGATGAAATTAAAGACATTGTAAGTTGTTACAGACTTTTGGGTTTCCTGTTCAATATAATTTTGCTTATATTGAGCATATATCCTACTCTATAATGTTTCGCCAAGAATGCAAAAGGTGAAATTCTCGACTGGCTTTAGTCTTATTGTAGACCAGTCACTAGATTCTGATGGAATTCATGAAAAAATGTTGCCTTGGCAGAAATATTGACAGTTCTGGAATTAGTGGTGAGATTCCTTCAAGCTTTGCTAATCTAAGGAACCTGGAAACAGTGTAAGAACTTTTTCGCTTTGTTAATTTGCTAATGGAAATTTTCGATGGTGATGAAAAATGGATTGGATCAGATCTTAAACTAATTCTTTGATTGTGCTCAGGTGGGCATTTGACATTGAACTAACAGGAAGGATTCCTGACTTCATAGGAAATTGGTCAAACCTTACTACCTTGTGAGAAAACTTTTGTCTTTATTTTATTTTCAATCAAGCTTCTTCACTGTGAATTTAATTTAAAGCACTGTTATTACAGTGTTTGAGACTGAGAATAGTCTAGTACTTAAATGTAATGTTATGTCGGTACAGTTCATAACTTTAGTGTCCTAAATTTTGTTGTAGGAGGTTTCAAGGAAACTCATTTGAAGGGCCGATACCATCATCCTTTTCCAATCTTACCTCTCTAAAAGAGTTGTGAGTGTTGGCATGCAACATTTATTTGATCATGTTTTAATTATGCAATAATCAATGCTAACTATATAGTGAAAAAAGAAATGTAGGAGAATAAGACTTATTCAATGGGAGCTCATCGTTGGCATTTATAAGGAATATGAAATCTTTAACCATCTTGTAAGACAACACTATCAAAGTTATAATATCACGTGTTGAATAACCTCATATATACTTCAGGGTTTTTCTTCCTCTTATTTCTTTGATCTAGAATGTTGGGTTCATATGTGGCAGAGAACTAAGGAATAACAAAATTTCTGGCTCAATTCCCTCTGATATTAACCACTACTGGAGTTTGCAGTATCTGTTAGTTAATTATATCCTTTCCTCTTTTCTATTTTTCCCTCCTTAACTCTTTGGTTGTTTTTTTCCCTCCGTAAATTTTTTGTTGTTAGGTAGTTTCTTCATCTTATAATTGTGTAATTCTAATATTTTTTTTCTTCAGGGATCTTAGTTTCAACAATATACGTGGACAGATTCCTAGATCGCTTTTCCAGTCGTTTATGTTGACTCACCTGTAATCTATCATTTCTGCTCTGTTGTGTCCTTTACCTCCCAGAATGTTCTCATTATAATAAAACATGTATTGCTGCTCTTGTACTCAGGTTTCTTGGAAATAATAGGTTAACTGGCACCCTGCCTACCTATAAAAGTGGGAAACTTCTCAATATGTAAGCACTTTTAACATATTTGCATTAATCTCATTACTAATTATCATATCAATTGATAGGGTAATTTTATCAGCAACATTTTTAAATTTGACCAAGCCATTTGATCAATAGGCTAAACTTGCATTCTAGTTTCTCTGTTTAGTGGCTTCCCAATATGAAATTGAAGATGTAAAGCATGTTCCTATTATCAATACCTGTATATTGATTTGAATAATGCTTGAAGACTGACTAGCAGCTGTAGTGTGTGGCTAAAATTTTTCTTACCCTGTGCTTGCAGAGATGTGTCATACAATAATTTATCAGGCAGCATTCCTTCTTGGATAAACAGACAAAAATTACAACTGTAATTCTTGAAATTCTTCTAAATTTAAATTTCATACTATATTTCATATTCTCTTTGTTAATTTTTTTTTTCTTGTTTAATGTTCTAATTACTTTACAAAGCAACATATTCTGTTAGCTCCTTGGTAAAATTTCATTCAGAACTTTCATTTCTAACAGAGATTTGTATTCTACATATGGGATGAAGCTAACATTAGGATTTTTATGGGTGCAATGTGCAGAAATTTAGTTGCCAATAACTTCACTCTTGAAAGTAACAACAGGTGATTATCTCATTTCTAATTTTCTACGATTCATTCAAATGCTTGAAACTCTCTATAACAATTGTGAGCAAGAATAGGTGCCTACTTAAGTTGTTGATGGTACATTTGAGGATTCTTTTAGCATGTTAACCTGTACTGTGAATTTTTTAGAAATATGTTTTATGTATGAAAGAGCAATTATTACATTGAAATAAAAGGTTACTGAGATCAGGCTTTTAGAAATAACCTGATGAAAACGTTATCTTTGAGCAAGAAGTATTTTTTCTATCTTGGGTAGCATGCCTAACCGGAATGTTTTCTTCTGCCTTCATATACTGTTCATTTGAGCTTTTAAGTGTGATTCTTGGAAGTTTTGTTAAGTTGTTTTAATACTTATGTTAATTGGACATGAAAATCTAATGGATAAACTAGTAGAACATGGGTGCTTTAGTGGCTGGTTTTTGTTCTGTCATAATTAAGTTCATTCCTCATATAAGAGTATTCTTCTTTTTCCCTCAGTTTTTTGCCATATGGTCTAAAATGTCTCCAACGCAGTTTTCCTTGCAATCGAGGTTCTCCAATCTGTAAGTGTAACTCCATTCTTTGGTTTCAGAGTTAAAGGTATATATATATGGTCAAAAGAGAAAGGAAGGATCTATTTTGGGGTGTGGACTTGATCTAGGACAAGTAACATGGATATTATAGATCAAACTTTTGGACATATTCTTACTTTTGTAGATTGGGAAACCTTTTCTGAAATTACCTTTATAAGTGGCTATATTGGTATGCAGATTCTAGCTTCGCTATTAAGTGTGGTGGGCCACAAATTACATCTAATAATATTTTTTATGAGATGGATGATGAGATTCTTGGTCCAGCTACATACTATGTGACTGAAACAAACAGATGGGGAATTAGTAATGTTGGATATTTTACTGGGACCGATAATCCGCGGTTTACAATTTCCTCTCAGTTTCAATTCACAAATACTCTAGACTCAGAACTTTTCCAGACAGCACGGATTGCCGCTTCATCTCTAAGATACTATGGTTTAGGACTTGAAAATGGAAACTACACTGTAACTCTCAAGTTTGCGGAAATAGCTGATCTGGATACTACTGGGAGGAGAAGTTTTGGGAGGCGTGTTTTTGATATATACATTCAGGTATGTCTTACATCTTCAGATTACTTTAGCCAGAAAAGCCTCAACTATACATCACACAAGTTTATGCTGAGGTTAAAGCATGATCAAATGACCGTAAATGTATTATGTTTCCCAATATACTCCTATAACTGTTACTAGTTTTCGTCTCAACCTTTGAATCTGTTTAATCTAGGGAAATCGTGTTGAAAAGGACTTTGACATAAAAAGGGTAGCAGGTGGAGTCCCTAGAAGAGCAGTTCAGAGAGAATATACTGCTAAGATATCTGAAAACTACTTGGAAATCCACTTTTTCTGGGCAGGGAAAGGGACTTGCTGTATTCCTACCGATGGTACATATGGACCTTTAATTTCTGCCATCAGTGCTACCCCAGGTTAAAGAAATAGCAACTTTTATTTTTCTCCTTTTTCCTCTTTTGGTTGATTTCCTTAAATTAGATAAGATATTGAGTTAACTACTGAGCTTTGATACAGATTTCAAACCTACTGTAAGACCTCCAAGTGGACCAAGTCCAACCACTAAGAAGAATCTAATAGTGGGGATTATTGTTGGTGTTGGGGTTGTATCTCTGTTACTTCTTGCAGTTTTCTTTATTGTCCAAAGAAGAAGGCAACAGACTAATGATGATGGTAAATCAATAGATCTTTGCTATCACTAATGTCTTATCTATCTTATTTCCTAGAGAAAAAGGGAACAATGGATTTAACAAATGCTTGTTCAATTTATAAAGCAGAGGTGCATTTGTGAGTTCTGAAATGCAGTGCAAGTTAATATGATTCAACACGGATAAGAAATTAAATCTCAGCTATTTTATTTCAATAGCATCTTAAAAGAACTAATATACATCAGTTTATATCCACAAGCAGTTTGGTCAACTACGTTTTGCTTAATTGCCATTACTTTTTACCGAATTGCTTTCTGGCCCTTTCATGTCACACAAAAATCTTACTATGCCTCCATTAGACAATTGCAAATGTTCTTTCCAGCTTTTTCTCAGCTTTAATATGACAAAATATTCCCAGAAGTATTTGATTAGACTAACAAATTCACAACAGTAAGCTATGTTAGTTGTTGAATTTTCAGAGCTTCTAGGGATAGATGTTAGACCATACACTTTCAGTTATGCTGAACTAAGGACTGCTACAGGAGGCTTCATTCCTGCAAATAAGCTTGGAGAGGGAGGATTTGGACCAGTTTATAAGGTATGTCATTGTTCTAATCAAATGCCAAACAGGGTGCTATGCACATTTTAGTGCCTTATGATTAATTGCTTTTCCAGAACAAAATACAGGTTGCAGCATTACTTTTTGTCATAGATTCAAAGGAAAACACAATCTTTTCACTTTATCTAGCTAGGAAACTTTTGATTTATGTTCTCTTTGGTCCATCTATTGTTTTATTTGGTTCATGAATTGGGCCTTTTAATAATTGGAGCATTGAAAAAATAAATAATAAATACAAAAAGTTGATCAACTTTTTACTGATTTCTCTAACCAATTAACTTAAACGATCAACTTTTTACTGATTTCTCTAACCAATTAACTTAAACTATTTACTCAATAGGGAACACTTCGTGATGGAAGGGTCACTGCTGTGAAGCAATTGTCTATAGCATCCAACCATGGGAAGAGCCAGTTTGTTGCAGAAATTGCTACTATATCTGCTGTGCAGCACCGTAACCTAGTAAAACTTCATGGATGTTGTTACGAGGGAACACAACGAATCCTTATTTATGAACATCTTGAAAACAACAGTCTTGATTAAGCACTATTTGGTATGTGGATAGCATATAAGTCTGTACTATGTTTTTCATGTGAGTCCTAGCAATATTGGGCATGGAAATCATGGTTCAAACTTTATATGACATTTGTGAGCAGGAAAAGGAAGTTTGGATCTTAACTGGTCGATGCGTTATGATATTTGTTTGGGAGTAGCAAGAGGTCTGGCTTATCTTCATGAAGAGTCGAGGCTTCGAATCATACACAGAGATGTGAAGGCCAGTAATATTTTGCTTGATGGTAATCTCATCCCAAAAATATCAGATTTTGGTTTGGCCAAACTTTATGATGATAAGAAGACCCACATAAGCACCCGTGTTGCAGGGACAATGTAAGTTTTTTTCTGAAGATTTATATAGTCATTCTTCTTACATTTGTTAATATCACCATCTTTTTTCATTCATTGAGTATATGGTAATGAATATTTCTTTTGTTGCATTGACATAGTGGATATCTTGCACCGGAATATGCCATGCGTGGACATCTAACAGAGAAGACTGATGTGTTTGCCTTTGGAGTTGTGGCTCTTGAGGTTGTTAGTGGGAGGCCAAACTCAGATTCAAGCTTGGAAGAAGAGAAGATGTATCTTCTTGATTGGGTATGAATGACATTTCTGTACTATAGTGCACATCAATTCTCTTCTTTTATTGGAGTCCAAAATGATTTCTAGCCTTGTGTTTTGGTTTGCATCATCATGATAACCACACCAATGAATATTTTATTATTGCCAGTTCATGAAAGCTCAGGTATATGTTAACTGTGAATTCTAAAGTCCCAGGAAAGAAAATAGAAGAATTCCAGCAGTCTAGATGAGTCTAGTTTGTCACTTTTCTAAGATACAAGTCAAACTTGATGTGTATGCTAATGCCTTTTTAACCTCCTGATCCAATCACTCATGACAAAATTCGTATCTTTCCTGCTTCCCAGGCTTGGCACCTATACGAGAACAATCGCCAACTCGAACTAGTGGATTCCAAATTATCAATATTCAGTGAGGAAGAAGTAATACGCCTAATAGGGGTAGCTCTTTTGTGCACTCAGACATTGCCCTCATCGAGGCCATCGATGTCCCGTGTGATTGCAATGCTTTGTGGAGATATTGAAGTGAGTACAGTGAATTCCAAGCCAGGATACTTGACTGAATGGACATTTGATGATGCGGCCACCTATGTTACTGATGATACAGCTGAGGAATTTGATGATACAGGTGAAGAATGTGATGATACTAGCAATTACATCTCCTCAACAAACTTAAGTACAGTGGATAAATCTCCCCAAAGAAGTGCTACTAAAGCCCTTCTCCATTGATTGGCTTTCAGTTTAGATTCCATTTCTGTTTCATGTTAGTTCGCCACAAGATAATGCTTAAAAATGTAACACAAATAAACTCAAGTCAAATATATATACATGTACGTAGGGCATTGATTTTTAAATACGTGTGAAACTCTGCCAGAACTATTCTGATTGGCACTATCAATGTTGAAAACTTTGGTTGATCTTTAGTTTATTTTTGAGGAATATAAAAAAATTGCAGAAACTTCAATGTCAGGATACTTGACTACCTGGAAATTTGATGATGTAACCACATTTGTTTATGCAACTAAAGCAAGCGATTCTCCCAGCCGTAACACTTCTTCAAGTAAAGGGGCTAAAGCTTCACTATCCACCCCTTTTTTATTAATATATATTTCATTCCCCATTCACATGGGTATCGCTCTTTATATAGGTTCTTGGACTCAGGAATTTATATTTGAGTAAACGACTTTTCCCACTCAAGGTTTGCCTTAATGACACTTTTCCACTCAAAAAGTTTCAAAATACCACTTTCCCATCTAACGTTTATATTCTATTATTACTCAAAATACACTTCACTTTCTAACCGATGTTCGGTGAGTTATCAAGAGTCAAGGTAGAGGATTTTTGTAAAGTGGAGGTCGGTGGATTGAATGGTGGTGATTGATTGAATATTCGTCGTCGAAATCAGTCAGAAATCAACTAAGAACAGGAAACCCTAGCTTTACTGTGGTTGACAATCAGCAAGAAATCAGGCGTCGGGATGAGAAAAGTTTTATAGAGAGGAGATTGGAGGTTCAAATGGTGGTGACAAGTTTTCGCTATTGTAATCGGCTTTGAGTAGTAACGGAATATTAACTTTGAGTGGCAAAGTTATATTTTGAAATTTTTTGAGTGAAAAGTGTATTAAGGAAAATAGTCTTTTACTCTTTATAAATTTAAGATTTGGGTTAAGTGAATAATACTCGTCTAATAAAACTCAAAACAATCTTTTGCAATCCCGTGACCCGGGATTTGACAAAAATATATAATAAGACTAAAACAATAACGTGCCATGTGTTCCATTGGCTAAATTTTTGTTCCCCCTTGAGAGATTGTTCAATTACAATTACCCCTACTGTTATCAGAAAGTCTCCAAATTAATGCTCCCAATCAGGCTCAAGCTGACTTACGTTCTGCTTAGTTGCCATTAATTTTTACCGAATTGCTTTCTGGCCCTTCAATGTCACACAGAATCTTACTATGCCTCGATTAGACAATCGCAAATGTTCTTTCCAGCTTTTTCTCAGCTTTAATATGACAAAATATTCCCAAAAGTATTTGATATGACTGATAAGTCACAGCTGTTAGCTATGTTAATTGTTGTTGAATTACATTACCAATCTATCTCTTGAATTATAAAGTGATGTGGTAGTTATTTTGAATTACAATTATGTATTATCTCTTGGATATATCTTGATCTCTTGAGTAATATACTTAAAAGTTTTTGTCTAATCATTCGATCACCCAGGAGTGATTAGTATGATTTTAATACTTGAAAAGCTAGAATTGAATGAATTTCTAGATGTTGGGCATCTTCCCCACCTCAAAACCTTGGCGATAAAAGCAAAATTATCCTCCATGATGACGATATCCGAGCGCTACTTCACCACTTCAGTCCCTTAAATTCTCATGGATAGTCCTATATCCGCTTCCTTCAAAGCTGGTGTATCTTCTGTTTCATTTCTAGTGACGACAACCACATGACCTCTCTGTTTTATGCACTGTAGCTTGTGCAGTTTATGAGAAGGAGAGGACCTCGCCATCAGACAAATCCTGTTAAACTTTCACCATTCTGTCTTGCAGTGTGTAGTTTCTAAATATGTCTGCTACAGAACCCCAGCAAACGAAACTATGCTAGAAACAGCATCAGTAGAAAAGCCTTGTTTTAACACTAAGGCTGCGTCGAAATACATATTTATTGCAGTACAAGTTTACTTACATAGAATGAAACACAAATGAATGATCAAATAACACCATCAAATAAACAATCTAGAACTAAAAGATGAACTTTGATTTAAATGCTTGCATTGTTTTCTAACTTTCTTGTCTGAAATTTTGTTCTCTTTCTATGTACAAACTGAACTGGGCGTTGAACAGGCAATTATTTGGTCTGTTATAGATTTTAAGCGGGATCCTTGGCCTAAAGTTTCTGATATTGCAAAAGACCTCGTTCGGAAGCTGCTTGAACCTGATCCGAAGAAACGGGTTACTGATTAACAAGTGCTAGAAAACATTCGGTTTAATTGAATAGTGATGCTTTATGTTTACAGCCTTATGCTCTGCAACTTCACTACTATTTGCAAACATTTTTAATTGAAATATGAGAATTAAATGTTTACTACTGTTTGCTCCTTAAATGCAGAACATCCTTGGTTACAAAATGCCAGCCATGGTGAACGCTAGCCTTCACACGCAACTATTTATCAAAATGCTTTCTTGTTAAGTGTTAAACTGCTAGATTTAAATTTTTTGATGAGTGTCATCTAATGAGCTTCCATATATGCTCATTTGATGAGGTCAATCCCTCTCTATTTGGTTTAACGGAATTGAACTACAAGGAATTGAATGTTTACTTTTTGTATGGCTTGCAATCAACTTATAGGACAAGAGCCGGGAAACAATGAGGAAATTCAGGAAGTTTATTTGCCCCCTCGATATGGCCAGTAGTTTTTCTTCCCGCCATACAATCTAGTAAGAGTGGATTTTCCAGCTCCACTAACACCCATTAATGCTGTGTGAACACCAGGCCTTAATGCACTGGTAACATCAGAAAGTAGTTGGAGTTTCTTCTTCTCCTAAAACCAAAGGGATGTAAAGGAAAGTTAAAGACAAAAAAAATTCAGAAAAGAATGCGTGAGATCTTATGCCTTCAAATATCATGCAATGCAAATAATTGTGAATGCAGATCGGTTAACAAGGAGTACCCAGGGACGTCAACATAGTACTTCACATCCTGAAATGTTACTGATAAGGTGGTTCAAAAAGTAAGACCATCCCACCTATTAATTAAAATAAGACAGTACAGAAAATACTGTCAAACATTAAACAAATACAACTGGAACAAAAATGGACAACAATCTGAACTGAAAGTAAGAAATTAAAGTCACCTTTCATTGGAGAATTCTTAGACCTTTCTTCCACAAGTTTATCTTCATTGGAATCTCGACTTCCTTGAATCTTAGCCAACTTTTCTTGCAAAGATGATCCAGGAGCTGCATTTGCATTCAGCTGGGTGAATAAACCAGAGTAGCATTTACTCTTCCTAAGTTAATACAAGATAACCAGATGAACTTACACGTTAAGAAACTGGAGGCCAAGATAAAACCCATGTTGAAAAGTAAAGCAAAACCAAACAAGGCGCCCAGTGCTGCCCAGAAATAATATTCATCAAAGTTTAATCCACGACTTTTCAAGTATTTGTGTCCCTATGGTACTGTTTGTGGGCAGCTTCTACAATAACATTAAGAAACACACACAGGAAATGAGTTACTTTCTCTACATTTTAACATAGCTAAAAGTACCATCTAGCTATCAACATAAGAAATAGTAAAAAGAACTAATAGTTTCATTACTTACAAGATTGTTGCATAGTTTTCTTGATTAGAGGAACCAAAAAGTGTTCCTATGAGAGCTCACCTTTTGCCACCGAGGAGCAAGAAATTCATTTACAGAAAGGCCTATCTCTCCATATGGAAGAGGTGAAACCAAAAAGCCCACTTCAACCACCCAGGCATTGGAGGCTGCAACCAATAACAGAAGCATAAGTTTATCCTTCCGGATGATGATTCTGAAATCAATTGGAGAAGGTCCCAATAGCCTTACAATGTGTGATAACGAAACCACAAAAAAGTAGGACTATTAATACTGCAAAACCACGGCTGTCATGGCAGCACCCAGAGTCTGGCAGACTGATTCTAAAAACCAAAACATAGATATAGAGGTACGGTGCACGGCGAAAAGTAGAATGAGCTGATGGAAAAACCTAAAATCACAGCAATCAATTAAATATCAGAACCTCAGCCACCAGAAAATGAGAAGCTTTCTAAAGCAACTACTTTTAAATAATTTGAAGAGTGAATTTACGCATATTGTTGAGGAATTTATATCCTGAGTATGTAATCATTTTCTTTTACTTTGCTACACAAGATTAACAAAGCAAATCCTGAGAATTCAGTATACTGTCATTTTGGAGAATGCTTGATGATAAGCTTTAGATATTGGGGCACTGATTGATGATTGAAAATAGGTGATGCAACGTAATAAATGGATAAAATAAGATAAAAATAGACAGAGAAAATGCATACTTCAGTAGGAAAGGATACAATGCATTAATAAACATGGCCTTTGGAATTGAAACTCACCTCTCGGCCTCAAGGCTGTACCCAATGACATAATAAGGCATGTCCTTGTCACAGATTCAGTTACTAAAAGAGGAATTTTAAAAAGAGATGCTGGAATTGCATAAGCCCTAGCTGTGTAAAAGCACAATTCTTTCTGTTTAAAGAACACTGGAAGTCTTGCTGTAGTCAGAGACAACTCTAGAATACAATCAACAAGAAGTATAATGAGTCCAAAGAATAGGGCACCCATGTAGCAAGTTGCATGAAAATCATCAATATCGAAGTCCGCAAAAATACAGTCATGGTAATAGTTGCATGATAATAATCTGTAACAAGTTCCTTTACACGTTTCAAATTTTTCAAGCCTTTGAACAACAATTTAAGAATACAAAATATTGACCCAAAAAAAAAAAAAAATCACTGAACAGAAGAAAAAAAAAGAGAAAGGAAAATTAATAGAATGTTTAGAAGAACCTGGGTTGTTTTGAACACATAGATAAAAGAATTGCTCTTCAAGAGAAGATATTCCCTCGACATGCAAGCTTGGTTGCCACTCAGAAAGAGAATACACATTGAAGGAAAGAGCATCCTTTTGGCTTTTGGATTTACCAGACGGCAATTAAAGATCCTCATCAAGCTTCTACCCAAGAGGAGATTCCTTGAATTCTAACAGAAACATAATGGTAAGCATCTTCAGTGCAGTACCAGCATTGTGCTTGATCTTTTCTAGATGTTAGCTGATAGGAAAAAAAAAAGGAACTAAGATAAAAGCTGAACCACTAACATTTGAGCACGGAAAAGAAATGATTGTAAGCTATAATATAATTACCTACTGAAGAAAGTCAGCTACACCTTTTCTTTGAGGACACCTGAATCCACAGTCCTTGAAAAATTCTACATCTTGATCATGTGATCCTTGATACACAACCTTCCCTTCTGCCATCAAAATGATGTCATCAAAGAGTTCAAAGGTTTCTGGAGCTGGCTGAAGAAGTGAAATCAATAAGGTAGCATCTGTGATATGCACCAGCTGCTGCAGACAAGCAACAATCTGATATGCAGTTGAACTGTCCAAACAATTTGATATTTCATCCATAAATAGGGCCTTTGTGGGAACAACAACCATCTCCCCTGCATAATTTAATGAAAAATTGATCTTCTAAGGTTTATAATAGAATCTTCTAGTCTGTTGAATTACTTACTTCATAAACATTACTACCAAGTGATGGCATGAAGCAGATGCATTGTACAGAATGCTAAAACTTTCAACGCTTCCACAAAAAATTACCTGTAGTTAGTCTCCTTTTTTGACCTCTAGAGATGCCTCTTCTCATATCATCTCCCACCATTGTGTCAGCATAGACATCAATCCAAGGACCTGAGAAGCCACAAAGAGAGTTAACATATAATCTTAAAGCATTTGTACAGATACAAATTAACCAAAAAAAGTATGGTTACAGCTTCAATAAAGAGAAATACCGTTAGAACATGATCTGTTAGAAGGGTTGTTTTTTGTCCTTTTGCAAAAATTGCCTGTTAAAACAACCATTGTCATGAGCACTTCATACATGTACCAACAACATTTAGAACAAAACATCAGACTGAAACTAGACAAATATGCTAAATATACCTTCATGTAAGTATCTACATCTGGATGTGGAACAATTCCTGCCTCCTCTTTTTTACTGACCTCCATCATCATATCTGCACAGGCAGAAAAAAAATACTTCTCTACCCATTAAGTACTTGTGGGAATTGATACAGCCGCTACAACTAAAACTTTGAATTAAATTTAAGGAAGCCTACCTCCTATGTTTCCAACACCAAGACATCAGGCAGAAAAATCAAGTGTTTCCCTCACAGTCATTGCTGCTATATGCAGATCTTCTTGGCTTATATAAGCTGGCGTTTTCTGGTGAACAAACTTGTCCAACTGGTAACCGTTGTAGGAAACTTCCCCTGTCACCTTTGAAGATAACAGAGGCAAAACTGAGTACATTAGGACACCTAACTAAGATAGCACACAATGGATTAATAAATTAACTGATAATATTATTTACTTGTTTTCATCTTGCATCAAACTAAGAATAAATAAACATATGGTTAGGAATAGACTTGATCCTGCTTGAAAAAGTAACAGGGTAATCTGAAAAAAAGTAGGCTAGATTCTCTCTGTGATATAAAGGAGAGGAACCTTTGGTTTGTGCAGCAGAATACAACTGTAAAGTAGAAGAGTGAGGTGTAATCAAATACAAAATTAAGAAACCTATCAAATATGTGCACAATGACATCATACTAGCAGAAATTGAAATGCAATTTAAACTGTTCGATCAATCGACTTAATTAATCTCATCAAATATAACTAATCTAACATGCATAATTAATGAATATGGTTTGAATTTCAATCAAAAGAAACAAACATACCTGGTTACTGTAAGGATTAAAATATTGAAGAGCATTTCCATGTATTTGCACTTCATGATCCTTATTGTACCTCTCCCAAATCAATAAAAAGCATTTCACCCAAACACATTTTAAGACTGGATCTTCATGATATAGACCCTCACTGAAAATTCCTGAAATCACATTGTGTCCACCTGTCGCCTTGACTCTAGACCAAAACAACATCGTCTTTATTTTATAACCATAATTCAGTATCACTCTTACAATTTAAGTATAATTATTTAGGTATAAATTGAGAAAAAATAAACATCACTAAATAGTTGTAACGTTAAAATAAAGAGGTATTGATTGAGCATATTCTCATATATCTTAAAATTGATTATGCTGCAAAGAAAATTAATGTGAAAGAGTTGCTGCTAAGGAAGAATATTCAAAGGCAAATTACTAAAAATATAAAGAGTTTATTTCCATATCAACACACTATCAAATTATACTTGCACAAGTTAAAATACAACTTAAACTGTACCACATTTCTTTCCGGATAAATATATTCAGGAGTCATCCAATGTATTTGCAATTCATGATCCTTGCTGAACCTCTCCTTCGCAAGATCCTGCAAGTAATCTAGAAACGAAACACAAAAATCAGATTTCCAAACAACATTTCCAGCGAATCACGTTTTAAAAATACAGCTTCATATACGATCACATTGTGTTTAACCTGTCGCCTAGAGCCTAGACAAATACGACGCTGATTTTTAACTTCTAATCTGCTTGAAGCATAATCGGCATCATTTGGCACTAATTTCGTCGATCGTTGCGAACAAATTCGAGAACAACTTGACAATCTCATCTGTGAAATTAAAAAAATTAACAAATATAATACATATGTTCTATTAGTTTTACTGATAAGTATTTGAAACGATGAAAATAACCTAAATTGCCGACGGTTGAACTGACAGGGACATCAACGATTTTGAAAGGGTTAAGGAGAACGGAAGGGAGAGGACGCGCGTGGTCGATACGACTCGTTCGAAATTGACCGTAAACTGAAGCCACGCAGCCAAATACTAGAGAGGACTTGACTTAAGCCGGATATCGACATTAGCCACCAAGAGAAGAGACACCTAACTCTGTTGCAGAGCACCTGATATCACAACCGTTACATACTCTTCACATAAATTTATATGTTTGGATAATATATTTGAAGTCCCTCATATGCTTAAATCATTTTAATTTTGTCCTGACAGAATATTAAAACGTCCCTTAAATGTTTAATTAATATCATATTTAACCCTATAATTTCTTAAATATATACCCCGAAATCTATATAATCAATTGAATTTGCGAAGTCAACTTACATAGATTTTGAATTATGTTTAAAAGAAATGTCAACTCAACTAATACCACACACTTACCACATGATTGCGTCGTGGGTTGATGGACATTACACTTTCTGTCTAACTAAAACTCTTAATATACTTCAGATGGGAATCTTTCCCATAACTCTGAACAATCTGCAATCATAAAGAACAATACATTAATAGTAAAAGCAAAAATTGTAGAGGATGTTATTTTTAGACTATAAATTTATCATAATTTATCAATTAAACAAGAAAATAAAGAATTTCCTCAACAACTACTTCAATATATACTTTAAAAACATGTATAAATTAACTTTAAAGAAACATAAATTGTAATATTGTAGGTTTTTTATTATATACTTAATAGTGTATAATTGATTCACTTAGAGGATTTTAACTAAAGACAAAATCAATAATAAAGATCATTGAGAATTGACTAGTATTAATTCAATGAAGGAGAACGAAAAAATCTATAGAAAAGGTATATTGTTAAGTAAATGAATACTTACCATCTTGTAACTGTTGTATGATTGTATCAATGTCACACTTTGAACAATCTTTATCATTCAACTCTTGTAATTTTGGCATGCTTAAGTCTCCTCCAAAGAAAGTCTTCATCTTGGAGCATTCATGTACATTTAATTCTTTCAAGAATGGGAATTTTAAGGTGTAATTCCCAGAGCAGAAGCATGTGAGACTTTCTAAATCATACAATGTCAACTTCTCCAATTTCTCAAAAACAATTTCACCTTTCTCTATGTCTCCTTCATTTGCCAATACTTCAATCATCATTTCGCAATATGCTATACCCAACTCTTCTAGTTGCACTAGACTTTGGGCTGTTGAAGATGACATTAAGTTTTGCATTCCCTTACAACAAGCTAAGCCTAAAATCCTCAGATTTTCGAAAGACAATAAAGGTGGCAACAAAGTAGTCAAATTGTGACAATGCATCACCGCTAGATGATCAAGATTTTGCAAAATTGAGTTCAATCGGGAGTCTTGTTTTGAAATGCACTTTAAATTAAAAAGTCCCAACAGTTTTAAAACTTTTAAATTTGTGAGTGCTCCATCGTATTCCTCATCCTCTCTAGATGAGAATATCTCTTGGTATGAACTCATTTTTAATATAAGTTTTTCAAGACTGTTAAATTTGTGAAGAATTTGAATTGGAATGTTTGGATATTCATCCTTAATCAATTCAAGAGTTTTTACTTCGCCAAAGCTCTCTTGAAACTCTCCTTCCCAAATCGGCATGATGTCCCTTCCGCTTAATGTTAATCTCAATTCCTTCAAATTGGAGTCAGCCTAAAAAAAATCATGTCAATCAAATTAAAATTAATATTTCCCTTAAAAAATATAATAATATTTAACAAGAACCAAGGAGAAAAAATAAAATATGATGAATAAATGGTTGTTTGAAATAATTTTATAAAACAGTGTAGTTTTAGGAATTTCTTAGAAAAATATAAATGAAGTTTGTTGTACCGTAGTACAAAAGTGAGGTGTCTAAATGTGTGTTGGCCACTAGTTAAACAATAGTGCTCAGCCTATACACAATCTGACTTTAAAAAATAATTTATTATAATTAACGCTAAAAAATAATATTATTAAAAATTAAATAATTAAACTAATTAATTGAATACATATACCTTTTTTTTGTGTGCTTCTTGTATGGTTGTGTTGAGCTCACTCCCCCCATTCTCTAAATCCTTCTCCTCCCCATCATACTTGACTTTGGGTAACTTTGGTGTGGTTAAGATTCCTTGGGAGAAAGTTTTCATATTGGGACACTCCCTTATAATTAAGTCTTCCAAAGATGGGAAATTGAAAGAGTAATTCCCAGAGCAAAAACATGTGAGACTTTTCAACTTTTCAAGTGACAACTTCTTCAAATTGTTAAAAACAATTTCAGTACTTATTGTTGCATCTCCCTCATTTTCTACTATTTCTGTTATCATCATACAATCTTTTATGCTCATTTCTCTCAATTGCACCAAACTTATAGCCATTGAAGGTGTTATTAACTTCATCACAAGCCCGATGCAATCACTTACTTTTAGAACTTTAAGATTCTGGAAAGAAGTTGAGGATGACACTAGAGACATCAATTCCATACACTCTATTACTTCTAGAACTTCAAGATTTGGAAGATCAAGTAGGCACTTAATTTCTTTGTATTGATTATTTCCATATAGTTTGAGCTCTTTCAGATTTTCAAATCTTTGAAGGAGTCCAAGTGAAATATTTGCTGACTTATCATGAGTGATCTTAAGATATTTAGTTTGACTCTCCCATATAATATGTCTCAACTTATTCTTTAATTCCAATGCCTCCAAATCACAGTTGATCTACAAATCCATTGAAACAAAAACTAATTAGCTTTTTATTTTCTTAAAACAAAAGTTTAACTGTTGGCTTAGAATTCACAAGCCAAATACAAATTATGGAGGTATTTTTTTTCTTAAAATAAAATTTAATTAATTATTTTTGATAATTCAACTACAATATATTTTAAAACTTGTAAACAACATTTTATTTTTATTTTAGATTTCAAATCAATATTATAATTACATTATTTATGAAAACTACTAATTAAACATAATTTTTTTTTTTAAATTAATTATTTAATTCCAATACCTTCAAATCCAACCTGATCTGCAAGTCCATCCATACAAAATCCAATTAGTTTGTTATTTTCTTAAAACAAAACTTTAATTATTGGCATAGAAGTCATGGGCCAAAGACAAATGACCTATTTTGTTAAAAGTTGTTTTAGATTCCAACTCTTATCCGGTTCAGTCTAACAATAAGTTGGACTTTGGACAAATTACATTAATTTTTAATTAAATTTTTTAATGTAACTAAAAGGTGTGATTTATTACCTATAACATTATAGACATATAATATTATATTAGATAATGTGTTACCATAACATAACACTGCCAACTAATGTTTTTTGTATAACGTTTCCAATAATAAGAAAGTTCATTTGTTAAGACATATTTCTAGTAAAAATAAAAAGAATATTATCAATTGAGTGATAATGTTAAGAAACTATATGAAAAGAGAGACATGTTCTGAAATAGTTTCAAAAAGGGCTAAATATTACCAGCAATGGTTGGATTTAACATTTTGTAAGGGCAAAAGTGGTATTGACTATTTTATAATTTTATATCTCTTTAAAATATTTTAGTTCATAAGTAATTTATAGTTAAATACTAATAATTCAAAATTTTAAATAATTAAAAAATAAAAAAAGGAAGAGAAAACCAAAAAAACAATAATAAATTAAGTACGGGCCTTGGCAATCAATAATTAACAATTAATGTTGATGAAAGAATATTAAAGTTGGGTTCCCAATTAATAAATTATTGTATAAGAAATTAATAATTAAATAAAAATATTTTAATATACTGTTGAGATGTTTTCAAATTGAATTCCAAACAAATTTGTAATAATTAACGTAACTTTCAATGAAAACAAAATATTTATGATGAAAAAATTTGCCACTCAAACACAATATTTAACATATCTCTTAAACAAAATTTTAAAAATAATTTTCAAACATCACCTGTAGTTGTATTTTAATATTGTAAAGAAAATGAATTGTATTTTAATATTTAAGAAATTAAATATTAAATATGGAACTTGTATGAAATTCTGTTTTGATTTTTATATATTTTTTAAATTGAGTAAAGATTTAAAAATAGATTGAAATATATAAAAATGTGGTTTTTGATGACAGTTTCGGCAATATTTTTAAAGATTTTAATTTATAATAAATTTTTAAAAATTAACCAAAAAAAAAAAAAGGTTCCATGAAAATTAATTGTTTTTTGTTAAATTTTTAGAGGATTTATTTTTTGGTTTTCTTTTTTTTTAAGTTTTTTAGTAATCTTAATTTCCTTAGAACATATTTTCAATAAATATTATTAAAGGGAGACTGACAAAAAGAGGATATTATTTCATAAATCCCAAAAAAAGGACACGTGTTCTTGAAATAGAAAAAAAATAAAAATAAAAAACGGACACGTAACCTTTAAAATCTGTTTAATTTAAGTATGCGAGGGACAAGTGGTAATTGCATATGAATCTTTAAATTTAGGATCATAAGAGACACTACTACCCTATCAAAACCAAATATGTGGCATGACTTGCATCTAAATGAAATCAAATTGGAAATCAAGCTCCGTTTATCCATTTATTACTCTTGGCTGCTAACAAATCATGTTAAAATAATTTTGAATTTATGATCCTGTTTAATAAGCTTTCAAGTTGCAAAATTTTTGTAAATAATTTTATCAATAATAAAATAAATCACCAAATAGACAAATTTCTAGTAAAAATAAAATTTTATTGTTGATTTCAAGAATTATATTGGATGATTTTTATTTTATTTTAAATCTAGTACGTAAATGAGTTTAAATGATAAGATCCTAAAGTAAAATTGTTCAAATTAAATAACCATTAATTTTTTTAAATTTTCTTTCCAAGGAAAAGTAGAGATATTAAGAATTCCATAATAAAAGTTTTGAAATAAATGTAATATATATGAAAAAAGTTAATTTTCTTTTTTAATAAACAATGAAATAATTAAAGACTCATACCTTATCATTCAAGCAGAGGAATTTTGGCTCTGAAAAATGAAGTTCCTCCTCCTCCTTATTTTCTTGGAAGCTCAGATATTTTGAAGTCATGAACTTGTCACAATCTTTCACCACCAACTTTTTTAACATTGGCCATTCAAAAGTATGATAGAAAGCTTTAAATTCGGGTAGATTTTGAAGCTTCAAGAAAGTTACATGAGGAAAGACAAAATTGACATCTTCATTTGCTCCTTCTTTTGCAACAATCTCCTCTAAAACCTTACAATTTTGTATTTTTAGTTGTTGGAGTTGGTAGAGACTTTTGGCTACGGAAGATGGAAACGCATATTTTATGTTTCCACAATTCCAAAAGAACAATTGTGTCAAATTTTGATAGAAAGAAGTTGGATGTTTGTTGTAGCAAATCTCTATTGAATTATCATCTTGGAATGCCTTGTACTTCAAATCAAGGGAGATGTCCTGCAGTAAAAGTTGATAATTATTTCAATATGAAGTAATTAAAAAATAATAATTATTGTTTCTAATAAATTAGAAAAATGTGTCTACTTTTAACTCTAATAATTTCTCAAAGACCCAAGCCCAGGCCCAAACTAAACAAATAATAACATAAAGTTGTGTTAACTCTCTCTTGCTTTATAGAGCTTATGCCTTCCTAACATGTAGATTGGTATCTCATCACAGCCGTTCATTCAAGTAGGCTTAACACTGGAAACTCATCTTTGATGTGAGTGTGCCAAAGTAAAAATACTTAAAAGTGTCTTCTTAGTGTTGTACACTTGTATTCATAAACTAACAAAACCTACTTCATCCTACCATTACTTGTGATCTTCTATCTAAAACATAAGATTTTTAAAATAATTATTGGAATACATACCTGTTTTCTGTCTGCTCCTTGTATGATTTTATTAAGCTCACTCCCTCCACTTTCTAAATCCTTTGTTTCCCCCTCACAAGAAACTTTGTGTAACTTTGGTGTGTTTAAGATTCCTTTAGAGAAAGTCTTCATAGTGGGACATTCTCTTATATTTAAATGTTCCAAAGATGGAAAACTCAAAGAGTAATTCCCACTGCAAAAGCATATAAGACTTTCTAAGTCTTCAAGTGACAAAAACACCAATTTATCCAAAACAATTGCAGTACAGCTCATTGTTGCATCTCCCTCATTTCCTACAATTTCCATCAGCATTTCACAACCAGATATTGTCATTTCTCTTAATTGCACCAAGCTTCTAGCCGTTGAAGGTGTTATTAACTTCAAGACATTGCAACCGTAAACTCTTAGAATTTTAAGATTCAAGAAAGAAGTTGAGAATAACACCAAAGTCATCAATTTGCTACAATGGTCTACGTTTAGAATTTCAAGACTTGGAAGATCTGGTAGGCACTTAATTTCTTTGTATTGATCATTTCCAACTTGATCCAACTTGATCTACAAAACCATCAAAACAAAATTTAGTTAGTTTGTTATTTTCTTAAAACAAAATGCTTAGAAGTGGTAGGCCAAAGACAAATTTGTTTTAGATTCCAACTCCTATCCGGCTTATTCTAACAATAAGTTGGATTTTGGACAAATTTCTTTTTTAACGTAATAAAAACGTGTGATTTATAATTAATAACATTATAGACATATAATATTACATTAGATACTATCTTACCATAACATAACTCTGCAGACACTTATTTATTGACATTTATCTTAATATAATTTGTTTCAAATTTGAACTGATTTTTTACTCTTGTCCTCTAATTTTATCCTAATATAATTATTTTAATATACTGTTGAGATTTTTTCTTATTGAATTCCATTCACACTTGTAACAATTAACGTAATTTTCAATGAAAAAAAAATATATGTACATGACGATAAAATTTACCACTCAAACACAATATTTTAATATATTTCTTAAACAAAATTTTAAAATAATTTTCAAATATCATACTGTAGCTATATTTTATTATTGTAAATAAAATGAATTGTATTTCAATATTTAAAAAATTAAATATTAAATACGAAACCTATATGAAAATTCTGTTTTGATTTATATATTTTCTTAAATTGAGTAAAGATTTAAAACTAGATTGACATATCTAAAAATGAGGTTTTTGATGAATTTGATGACAATTTCAACAATATTTGTAAAGATTTTAAGGAAGATTTATGATAAATATTTAAAAATTAAAAAAAAAAATTTCCTTGAAAATTAATTTTTTTGGTAAATTTTTACAGGATTTTTTTTTTTTTTAAAGTTTTTTTGGTAATCTTAATTTCCTTAGACCATATTTTCAATAAATATTATTATAGGGAGGATGACAAAAGGGCGATTTTTTTTTTATAAATCCCAAAAAAGGACAAATTTTCATGTAAATCATTTTAAATTAACGGTGAGAGGGACAAATGGTAATTGTATATGATTCTTTAAATTTACCATCATAAGAGACAGCACTACCCTATGAAAACTAAAAATGTGGCAAGACTTGAATCTAAAAAAAATCAAATTGGATATCAGGCTCGATTTATCCAATTATTTTGAGGCTTTAATACTTGAATATTGGAACAGGTTAAGGTTTGGATGGTATTGTAAATTTGTAGAGAAGATACATTCACAAATCTGTTTCACATTGATCAGCTTTTGGGTTTGTCAAAATCGTATAGGTTATGGGTTTGGCCAACTTGATGTGTTTAGTACCTATTGGTTTTTAGCCAAATCTATGTCGTCTTCATTAGTTTTTATCCCATCCTAGTACGTGATTTGTTTTGAAGATACTTTTTTATTGATAATATCAGATTAAACACAAAAGTATGACTTTGTAAGTAATTAGAGTAGATATATTTGCAAATTAGTTCAAAAGGATGAAGACAAACTTGTAAGGGAAACAATCTGTATGTGTGTTGGATCAACAAGGAACTTCCTTTCATTGGCACTTCATTAAACAAGTTTGATATTTCATTTGCACATTAAAGGTTAAATTGTCTTTTTATCTTTTAAATGTTATCTAAATCATATCTCATCATAAAATAAGGATATTTTTTTTAAAAAAATTTTATATGCCTAAATCTTTTTCGGGTTAATTTAAACGTATTCTTCTTTTTGTTGTTTTAAAAACTAATGTCTTTTTTTTTTTTTTGGCGTTTATAGAAAAAGTGTCATTTTTTTATATGCTTCCTATTATTATAAGGATATTTATGTCTTTTAATTTTCCCGTTAAATTGAATGATAACTAATAATATTTTGTTCTTTTTTATTTAGTATTTTAAAACTTGTCTTTTTTCTTATAATTTCACAAAACGTTGTCATCCAATTAATAATATCTAAAAATAAATTATATTATTGTTTCTAATTAATATTTTAATTATTTCTAGAATTGTATTGGATGATTTTAAACCTAGTTGTTTTGATTATTTCTAATAAATCATATTGAATGATTATTTCTAATAAATTATATTAATTATTTCTAATAAACAATGAAATAAGAGATTCGTACCTTATCATCCAACAAGATGGATTTTGGCCTGGGAATATGTTCACCCTCCTCACTATTTTCTTGGAAGCTCATATGTTTTGAAGTGAATTTGTCACAATTTTTCACCACCAACTCTTTCAACTTTGGCCATTCGGAAGTGTGTATTTCAGGATAGAAAGCTGTAAGTTCTGGTAGATTTTTAAGCCTTAATGAGGTTACATGTGGAAAGACAAAATTGACAATTGCATTTGCTCCTTCTTCCTTTGCAACAATCTCCTCTAAAACCTCACAATTTATTATCTCAAGGAATTGGAGTTGCATGAGGCTTTTGACAATGAAAGATGGAAATACATATTTTATATTTTCACATCCATTCAATATCAACCAAGTCAAATTTTGATAAGAGGAAGACACGAACATTGGAAGTTGGTTATCCCAAAGATTTCTAGAACAAATATCTTGCAGGTCCAAGCCCTTCAAATTGGAGAAAATAACCTGAAATCAAAGTTGATTGTAATTGCAATAGTTACTCATATGAAAAAAATTGAAAAAAGAAAGGAGTAATTCCTTCTTATGGATTTAAAGATGAATATGCCATTGATACAAACAATGTGTCTTTTATCTCTCTAAAAAATTACATCATGAAATCAAACATGAATTCATGAAACCGATTTGACAAAAATTACAAAGTATAATTATTGAAGAGAAGTACTTGGTAATGAAATTTAAAAGAAAATTTAAATCACTAGAAAAAAAAAAGGCAAAAGAGAAGAACAAATAATTCAATATCACAACTATGTGTTTACAAATGAGACTAAGCATAAAAAAAGATAAGAATATATAATAGAGAAGTGCAAGAAGTGTATGTTAACCAAACCTTTTCATTAAAAAGTGTCATGACATTGTTATCGTGATTTGAAACTTTGGCCAATCGTAAGAATTCAACGTTCTTCACAATTCGTAGTTCTTCTAAAGAGATGGTAGAATCACATTTAAATTCCAATATTCTTGAAGGTTCGTAATTGGGCACAAAGTAAAACAAAATATCTCCTATGAATATTTTATACCAATCAAGCTCTTTAGAAAAGAAGTCTTTAGGCAACATCTTGTTATCTTTAACATGTATTTCTAAACGAGTCAATCGAGACAAGCCCATCAACTCTTCAAGTACTTCAACATTCCACCGAATACAGCATCCCTTTGTATAGAATTCCTCTAGTTGGGATAATTTTGATATCACATTTGGTGCGATAACCTCCAATCTCCTACAATTGCTTAAATCCAATAACCTTAGCTGAGTCAATTCACCCATTCTTGTAGGCAGCTTCATGATATTAGAATTTTTCATGCTAAGGACTTTTAGCTCCTTAAGATTTCCAATAACAGCAACATCTTCAATTTTGCTCTCATCTAAACACAATGTTTGAAGGTTTTTCAAAACATCAAGTGACGATGGCAATGACAATTGTTGTATTCTACATAAATTTAAAACCTTAAGCTTTGGCATCAATGTGGAAAACCCCTCAAGGAATCTGAAAAAAGAACCAGGGTTCCTAATATAAAAAAATTCAACTTCTGGATAGTCTAATCCGTCAAGCAAAATTTGAGTAGTAATATTATCACCAACTAAAGAGAAAATTGTGCATTTTCTAAGTTTATCTTCATCCTTCCATTCTCTTTCAGTGTCATTTTTCTCTGTAAATACATGGTGATCTGTATATGCACATGTTAAAGCAATAGCGCGAACAACGTCATGCATAGAAAAACTTCCTTTGGTTCTACCATCAAGTAACAAGCAAGAGTCTTTGAGTTCCTTGATCACTGAATCTAGTCTATTCCGTGCTTGTTCTATTGTAAGATTAGCTCCTTCAAGTATACCCAAACAAACGATACTCTTGAACAAGTCTAATATGGAAGTATCATTTTTCATTAGACTAGAAATTATGAAAGTTTTCTTGAGCTCATCATATTCTAAATAATCATAACTCAACTTAATCTTATAATATTCCTCTTCCAAAAGTCTTGGGAACTGTGCTGGGGAAGGCATTTTTAGTACTCGCAAGGCATCTTTCCATTGAGATTCTTGTGTCCTGTTCCTTAATGCTTTTGCTATTGTACAAATGACAATGGGCAACCCTCCACATTCTTTACATACATCATTTGGTAAAGAATTCAATTCAGGTGTTTGAATAACATTACCTGCACAAGAAGTTAGGATTATACTAATTGCATTTTCTATTCACATGCTTTTGATTTAAAAACAAAAAATGTTTTAAGTGTTGTTATTTTCCCTCCAGCTATCTTATTAGACTCTTTTCTAAAGAAAACCATAAAAAATATTTGAAAATATAAATATGTTACACTTAACTCCAAATTATATTGCCTTTTTTTTTTTTTTTTCCTTTCCAAATACATTTGTCTTATCAAGAGCTTTAAGACTTTAAGACAATTTTTATAGAAAAGAAAAATAAGCTGATGAGAAATGAGGAAACGTAAAATGAAACTGTCAAGTCAGTTCTCATTATTGAGAATTTAGGCTGAAAATAATAGGAATTACACTAAGCACTTTTTTTTTCTGTTAAGTTGAAAAAAAAAAAAAGTGCTTTTTGTAATTCCCATTATTTTTAACTAATTTTAAATTTGAAGATTGAAGATGTCGTAATAAAAATTAAGAGAATCTGAGATGAAACAAATTTTGCTGAAGAGTCGATAAAATCGTAATTATGTAAAAATTTATAATAAAATCGTAATTATGTAAAAATTTATAATTGGAGGCCAGTAAGATAAAGATAAGTAATCAACTAGTATCACTCAAAGAAGCAAAATATTGCTATTTATTAGTACGCCAAATTTGTATATTGAAGCTTAAAAATTTACGCTATTAAATTTATTGATTAGTAGAAAAAAAATTATATTATGTTATATATATACTTACACAATTTATCAGATTTTTAAATTACTATTTTTATTTTTTATTTAAATAATCCTATATATAGCAATGAGATGAACAAAATTATGAAAAGAAAAATAAATAAAAGGGGAAAAAGAGACGTAACCACATTTTGGTCCTAGTAAGTTAGGTCCAGTAAAGTCAGAGAGCAATGTTTGGGTCCATAACTATTAACTGTCGTTTAATGAATTTTTGTGTGGCCCAAGAATTTTGAAATTTCTGTTAAACTAGAGGAGTGAAGCCGCCTCACCTTCAAACCCCGATAACGACGCCTTGGGTGGTTTTTTTATTATCAATTTGGGCTAGGGAGCTTGTTTTTTAAACCTGGATGGTGTTGCTGTAGAACTTGTGAAGTTGATTTGAGTGGTGATCTGGTTTCGTTGTGGCTGATGTGGTGGTGGTGGTGGTTGTCTAAGGGGTAATGGGTTGTGGTGTGGGTGCAAGGGAGATGTGTTGTGGTGTGAGTGCAATGGAAATGTGTTGCACTTTGCATGTTGTGGTGGTGCGCTGGAGGCCAGTGGGTGCGGCAATGGTTGTCATCTGGTTTGCTACGGTTGTGGTGGTCTAAAGGGTGGCTGTGTTGTGGGTGCAATGGCGATGGTTGTAGTGTGGACGCAATGGAGGAGATGGCAACGATTTGGGTGCGGTGGTGGTGCACGGGAGGCTAATGGGAGCGACGATAGTTGTCAATGGCTGCCGATTGGGCCTTGGGGTGGGGCACGGTGTGGGCGAGGTTTGTAATCGCTGGGTTTTAACAGGAATGGAGGTTACGAAATTAAAAATGAGAAGGAAAAAAAATGGGTTATTAGGTTATTTTTCAAAAGACTCAGATTTTTAAAAGTTACGAATTTAAAAGAAAAAAATTACAGTTATTAAATTACTTTTTAATAAATCAGATTAAAAAATACGGTTATTAGATTAAGAAAATAAAATATAAATGAGTTACACTTAAAAAGATAAAACAAGATTTAATATTTAGAATTACCTTTCTAACCCTTTATATTTTATATAAAAGGAGCAATTAAGTCTTCTCCTATTTTATGCCCCGTTTGCAAGGGCAAATATGGGATTCCATTGCTATATCATTGTTCGGTGTCAAAAGTTATAATGGCTAACTAATGTTAGGGCTTTTTTGTTATTTATAATAGGATGGGGAGATTTTGTAATTAACTTTAATCTTAGGGAATGACAAAAACCCAAAAATAAAATTAAAACTAAAACTAAAATAAAATATTAGAAAAAATTAAAAAGATCCCACACCCCACTTTCCCCAGCCAAACCCTCCAACCCCTTGGCAAGCCGCAAACAAATCCCCACCCGAAAGAAATTTGATTTTCAGAATATTTAATTAGATAATAAATAAAACTTATGCCAAAGGAATTTAAAAAAAAAAAAACAATTAAATTAGATTTCTTGTTTTCAATGTGATGTTATAGAGATGCCCCTAAGCCAGCAGGCCCAGCACTACTATCCTATCAATCGATTAATTATACAGATTTTGAAAATATTTTATGTTATTACTACTTTTTAACTTTTTATTTATTTACATTAAACCATAACATAAATTTTAGGTGTTATCAAATTAAAATGTGTTATAACAATTACCTGCCATTTTCTTGAATAGACTCCAAGCTTCTTCTTCATTTAAAATGCCCATCCCGAAATTATTTGTGGAACCCATCTTTGCCAATACATCTTCTTTCCTTGTTGTCATCAACATTTTACTTTTTCCACGATCAGCTCCGGAAGGAATTCCAACTGTCTTCAAATTTAGCTCTTCCCAAATATTATCTATGATTAAAAGGATATTTTTATCCTTCATTCTAGAATATAATTTATTTGCTCTTTGACTCTCATCATCATTCTCTTCGAACTCAAGACCTAACTTTTTTGCAATGGTTGTTCGAATTGTTTTGGTATCAGGAGTTTCTGTTACCTGCAATAGAAAAAAAAAATATGGCCTGTCAAGAACCACAAAATAAAGAAAATATAATAACAAAAGAAAGTTAAACTATTAACTGTGTTTTTTATTAAAAACGAAAATAAAGAAAATAAGGATGTCTTTATTAAAAAAGAAGAAACAATATTTTATTAAAGCTTACTTCTTCTTCGTTATAAACACAACCATACATCCTTGTATAGAAGCCTAAAGTCTAAATAAGTGCAGTCAAATATATAAATATAAATATTATAAATAAATACTACTATTACTTATAACTTTAAATAAGATAATATTAGCAATCCTACTAATAAAATGAAACCTCTTAACTATTTACCTCAACAAAAACAAAGTCGTCGAATAGCTTATCCTTCTCCGCTTTCTTACCAACTTCCTGCACAAGCGTGGTCTTCCCAAGACCACCCATCCCATAAACACCGATCATGTAGATATTCTCATCATTTAGTGCATCCCATACATTCGTCTCAGTGGAGGCCCTTGATTCGAAAGCCAAATAATCTTCATTAGATCTAAGCCAGATCTCCCGAGGAATAGTAGGATGGGCAACTTTATCTTCTTGCGGCAGGAATGGATATTTATTCTTATCTAGGAGTTGACTGATATCATTCTCCTTTAACTTGAATGCTTTCTTGCTATCTTTGTAGTGGGTGATCCAGTTGGGGCACAATCCCTTGAAACATCGAGGATTGTTTTCTTTCTCTTCAATCAAATTCTCTGCGTCAGTAATGGTCTTCTCAACATCCTTCTGCCAGTCTTTAACACTCTGGTTGATCTCTTCCACGTTTCTTTCAGCAGCAGTAACCTTAACCTGCACTTCCTCTCTTGTGTTCTTCAGCTTCCTAACTGCACCTTGAAGGTTGGTCAATGTTCTTCTTGTAATTGTACAAGTACTGAAATGGACGCCCAATCGGAGCAACCAAGCACTGGCCAAGTTGGAGAACAAAACTCCCGATACCCGCGATAGATGCAGCAAGTTCGGCCATTTTTAAATTTGTTTTTCTCCTTCACTTCTTCTTGCTCAAGTTTGAAAAATATAAAAATAGTAAAAAATAAAACAGAGATAAAAACAGGTGCAAAATCAAATAACGGAACAAGGTAAGGGAAATGCTTAAATAATTTTTTTTTTTTTTTTTTTAAAAAGAGATAAGAAAGGGAAAAATAGAAAGAAATAAAAAAGAGAAAGTAAAGGGCAACTGCAAATGAAATAAAGTTAGGTGAAAAAAATGTTGAAATAAAGAAGATTTTTTTGGTTTGTTTTCTAAACCAAAAATAAGGAAATGGGAAAGGATTCTTTTAGGAAACAAGAAATAAGGAAAATGGATTTTTTTTTTTTTGGGGGGGGGGGGGGGGGGGGGGGGGGGGGGGGGAGGTATATCAGCAAGAAATAAGGGAACAGGAGAGGAGTGAAAAATCAAGCGATCTGGTTTCAGAGTAAAGTATTTCAAGTGGTATCTGAAGGGTATGAGGAGGTTTATGAGTGAAAGTGTTTTTGAGTGTTTCTGAAAGAGTGAGAGATAGAAGAAAACTGAAGAAGAAGAGAGATTACAGTGAATAATTGATTACATGGAGACCCACCACGTCAACATGGATAAAAGTAATAAAAGTCTAAAAGATTGAAGGGAGGAAGAAAGAATAGAAAAGACGAAAAAAAAACACTCGAGTACGCATTCCAGGTGGATCCGTGATCCAACGCGTTACATACAGTTTCCGAGTAAATATTTGTTGTAATTGACCAATACTTGTTTCATGGTTTGTAAAAGCATTTCTTTTAGCTTTCTCTTTCCCAATATATTTCCATAAAGGTAGTATGAGTTTGATTTTAACCCCATAATTTTGTACAGCAAAACGTTAAGAGTCACATGTGCAAAACGTAGCAGTGGATTGACAGTTGTCTTGCAGGATAATTTATTGAGGACGTGTCTCATTCTGGATGGTTACGGTTCCATAAAGTCTGATTGATATGTTAACATCATCCATAAACCATAATCAGTCCTTAATTTAGTCACAACAAGTGAAACCCACCACTTGGGCATCACATAATGACCTGCATCCAGTAGATAAAAGTTATTTTATCCAGTAGAAATTGATTTTCTGTATATTTACGTGGTTGCATTAAATGTTCATGATTTTTTCTCAAAGAAAAGGAGGGGTAGACTGTGAGTTAATTAACTTTACTTATTATTCACAAAAAATGTGAGAAGGACTGGTCGTACACTTGGAGGGAACATTAAAGGAGGAGAGAAGGAAAGATAATGAAGGCATTCAAGTTTAGCTGACTCAGACTGATTTCCAGCTGGAGTGAGATGTGACAAGACGTTGTTCAGACAAAATGGGAAGGTGAAGAAGACTTAAAAGTTAAAAGTCGGGCCTGTAATAACAAAAAATTCCTCACTTTTTATCTGGATTTAATTCAGAAAATTAAGGATACGTTGGTGGGTTATTTTAAATAGTTTTTAGAATAATATTTTAAATTAGATTAATTAAGTAGGTAAGTAAATTTAAAAATAATAAAAATATGATGTTTATTTACTAAAAATATGATCTTTTTCTTGTTCGTTTCCTAAACGAAAAATAAGAAAATGAGAAAGGATCTTTTTGGTGAACAAGAAAAAGGAAAATGGATTTTTTTTTGGGGTATATAAACAAGAGATAAGGGAACAGGAGAGGAGTGAAAAATCAAGCGATCCGGTTTCAGAGTAACAGGAATTTTATGGTATCTGAAGGGGTGAGAGAGGTTGTGAGTGAAAGTGTTTTTGAGTGATTTCTGAAAGATTGAGAGGTGGAAGAAGAAGAAGAGATTACAGTGAATATCAATCATTTGATTTCAATTTTTACTGTGAAAAAATGATTACTGTGTAGACCCACCACGTGAACATCAACCATAAAAGTAGAAAGTCTAAAAGATTGAAGGGGGAAAGAAAAAATGAAAAGACGAAGAAAACACTTGAGTACTGCCTTCCAGGTGGCTTCAAAAGCGTTACGCGTTTCGCATAAAGTTTCCGAGTAAATATTGTTATCATTGACCAAAACGTGTTCATGGTTTGTAAAAGCATTTTCATACATGAATCTCTCCCATTCCCAATTTTTTTTCCAAAGAGTGGTATCGATGTTTGATTTTTTTTTTGTATAACAAGTGAAAACCCACCACTTGGGCATCAATAATTGACCTCCATCCAGTAGATAAAAGTTAAATTATCCAGCAGAAATTGATTATTTTGTATATTTCGGTGGTTGCATTAAATGTTCATGATTTTTTCTCAAAGAAAAGGAGGGGTAGACTATAGAGTTAATTAATTATACTTCTATTGTTCAACAAAAAATGTGAGAAGAGATTGATTGTACACTTGGAGGAAACATCAAAGGAGGAAGAGAAGGAAAGATGATGAAGGCATTTAAGTTTAGCTGACTCAGACTGATTTCCAGCTGGAGTGAGATGTGATGTGAGGGTGTACATTTTGAGCAGAAGAGACTATGACAAGAAGTTGTTCAGACACAACAGAATGGGAAGGTGAAGAAGACTTAAAAGTCATCGGGCACGTAATAACAAAAATCCTCATCATTTGTTAGCGTTTATTTGGTTAAAGCAATATTGGATTAAAGATAATGGAGTATTAGATTAATAGAAAGTTAAACTATATATTATTGAAAATCTTTAAAAAAATATGTTGGATTGATTTAAATTAATCGGCGTGTATGATATATTAATATTTTTTGTTGGAAGGAATAGATTGATGGATATGTTATTTAAATTATTAAATTATCTTTTTATTAAATATTATTATTTAGGCTATCTATAACCCCCAACATTTAAAAACTTAACAAAAATAATCCCATAATAAAAGTTTAAAACTCAACAAAAATACCTTCACCCCACCTTAAGCCACTGTCGGCAATCAACCACCACCGTCGGCCAACAACGATAGCAGGTAGTGCCAAAGATCTAGTTGTGAAATAGCCAGATTTGTGTTTTTCCGAAAAAGGCCTTATTGGTGCACGACGGCCATATCCGACTGGTTGTGTGTCGATAAGGCTACTTCTGACAGTCGTCGATGGTGGTGGCCGACGGTTGGCGATGGTGGCCCATGGGTATTTTCGTCCTAAAAATGTTGTTTATAAGGATAAAATAGTCCTCAATTTTTTTTTTGTAAATTTTATTCAAATCAAGGGCATTATTGTCTAAAAATTTTATTAATAAGGAGTAAAATAGTAAACAAAAATAAAATTACCAAGTAATCTTAAAATACCTAAGAAAATTGAGATAATCAGATTATCTCCTATATTACCAACAGTAATTACTATGGGTTGTGGAAGATTACCGGAATCTTATATTACTTGATAACAAAACATGGTAACCAAGTAATATAAGATGAGATTACCTCAATAATCTTTAAAAAACCCCAACCAAATGCACCCTTATAGTCATTATTTATAACACTATTGTGGAAAGTAATAAATAATGAGTAATGCTACAGTTACCGAATGATGTGCATCGAATTCGTGCACAGAATGACTTAGCTCAATCCTGACCGTTGATTCATTATAAGTTAATATTAATCAACGATTAGGATTTTGCCACATTATTCGGTGCATAGATTCGGTGTGTAATTTTCGATAACTCTATTATTTTTCATAAATAATCACTATTAACCCAAAAAGTTACCTTAACTAGTCACGATAATATTATGACTTATATGATCTTTTAAACTTGTAGGGTGTTCAATAGATTCTGAAAATTAATTAAAGTATGTACAAATTAACCCAAATACCTTGGTTATAAAAATAAAATAAAANATAATCCCATAATAAAAGTTTAAAACTCAACAAAAATACCTTCACCCCACCTTAAGCCACTGTCGGCAATCAACCACCACCGTCGGCCAACAACGATAGCAGGTAGTGCCAAAGATCTAGTTGTGAAATAGCCAGATTTGTGTTTTTCCGAAAAAGGCCTTATTGGTGCACGACGGCCATATCCGACTGGTTGTGTGTCGATAAGGCTACTTCTGACAGTCGTCGATGGTGGTGGCCGACGGTTGGCGATGGTGGCCCATGGGTATTTTCGTCCTAAAAATGTTGTTTATAAGGATAAAATAGTCCTCAATTTTTTTTTTGTAAATTTTATTCAAATCAAGGGCATTATTGTCTAAAAATTTTATTAATAAGGAGTAAAATAGTAAACAAAAATAAAATTACCAAGTAATCTTAAAATACCTAAGAAAATTGAGATAATCAGATTATCTCCTATATTACCAACAGTAATTACTATGGGTTGTGGAAGATTACCGGAATCTTATATTACTTGATAACAAAACATGGTAACCAAGTAATATAAGATGAGATTACCTCAATAATCTTTAAAAAACCCCAACCAAATGCACCCTTATAGTCATTATTTATAACACTATTGTGGAAAGTAATAAATAATGAGTAATGCTACAGTTACCGAATGATGTGCATCGAATTCGTGCACAGAATGACTTAGCTCAATCCTGACCGTTGATTCATTATAAGTTAATATTAATCAACGATTAGGATTTTGCCACATTATTCGGTGCATAGATTCGGTGTGTAATTTTCGATAACTCTATTATTTTTCATAAATAATCACTATTAACCCAAAAAGTTACCTTAACTAGTCACGATAATATTATGACTTATATGATCTTTTAAACTTGTAGGGTGTTCAATAGATTCTGAAAATTAATTAAAGTATGTACAAATTAACCCAAATACCTTGGTTATAAAAATAAAATAAAAAATAACAAATAAATAACCACTCTTCGGTCTAACCTCACCTAACTCCATTAACTTGTAAATTAATATTTATGTGAAGTTATTATTTTATTCTTACTTTCACTATATTTGAATTTGTTTTTGCTATTTCCAATATTTGAAACCAGCACTTCTAAATATTCAATTCAAAACTCTGACCAAATATTTTACATAATTTATTATACAAACATAATATATATATATAAGTCATACATATAACTTAATTTGACTAAGGTATTGAACTACAAATAAATCAGGTTTCAATCTTATTGGGAGGAAATTTTATTTATCATATTTAATGAGAGTAAGGCAAAATATAATTT